AGCATTTAAAAATGGCAAAAAAAATGATGGCCAAAAAGCAATGAGGGTTGTGTGTCCCTGAAGGTCTAGTGGTCAGGATTCGATTCCCGGTCAGGGAAGTTCCTTTTGCTATTTTTGATACCAGACAACAAGATACTGATCCACTAGATTCTGATTTTTTTCTGGATCGTTATGAGCCTTCTTCCAGAAATCCTCATATAAGACCTTGTGGTGCAACGGTAGTGCATCTGATTCCAGATCAGAAGGTTGTGTTTCCAAAGCAATATGATTAAAAGTGATAGCATTTAATAATGACAAAAAAATGGCCAAAAAACAATGAGGTTGTGTGTCCCTGATGGTCTAGTGGTCAGGATTCAGCGGTTTCACCGCCGTGGCCTGGGTTCGATTCCCGGTCAGGGAAGTTCCCTTTAATATTTTTGATACACGACAACAAGTTACTGATCCACTAGATTTAAATTTGTTTCTGGATCGTTATGAGCCTTCTTCCAGAAATCCTCGTATAAGACCTTGTGGTGCAACGGTAGTGCGTCAGATTCCAGATCAGAAGGTTGTGTTTCCAAATCAATATGATTAAAAGTGATAGCATTTAAAAATGACAAAAAAATGGCCAAAAAACAATGAGGTTGTGTGTCCTTGATGGTCTAGTGGTCAGGATTCGGTGCTCTCATCGCCGCGGCCCGGTTTCGATTCCCGGTCAGGGAAGTGACTTTTAATATTTTTTATACAGGACAACATGATACTGATCCACTAGATTTAGATTTGTTTCTGGATCGTTATGAGCCTTCTTCCAGAAATCCTCGTTAAAGACCTTGTGGTGCAACGGTAGTGCATCTGATTCCAGATCAGAAGGTTGGGTGTCCAAATCAATACGATTAAAAGTGATAGCATTTATATAGTGATAGCAAAAACAATGAGGTTGGTTGTCCCTGATGGTCTAGTGGTCAGGATTCGGCGCTCTCATTGCCGCGGCCTGGGTTCGATTCCCGGTCAGGGAAGTGACTTTTAATATTTTTTATACAGGACAACATGATACTGATCCACTAGATTCAGATTTGTTTCTGGATCGTTATGAGCCTTCTTCCAGAAATCCTTGTTAAAGACCTTGTGGTGCAACGGTAGTGCATCTGATTCCAGATCAGAAGGTTGTGTTTCCAAATCAATATGATTAAAAGTGATAGCATTTAAAAATGACAAAAAAATGGCCAAAAACAATGAGGTTGTGTGTCCCTGATGGTCTAGTGGTCAGGATTCGGCGCTCTCACCGCCGCGGCCCGGGTATGATTCCCGGTCAGGGAAGTGACTTTTAATATTTTTTATACAGGACAACATGATACTGATCCACTAGATTTAGATTTGTTTCTGGATCGTTATGAGCCTTCTTCCAGAAATCCTCGTTAAAGACCTTGTGGTGCAACGGTAGTGCATCTGATTCCAGATCAGAAGGTTGTGTGTCCAAATCAATATGATTAAAAGTGATAGCATTTAAAAAAGACAAAAAAATGGCCAAAAAACAATGAGGTTGTGTGTTCCTGATGGTCTAGTGGTCAGGATTTGGCGCTCTCACCGCCGCGGTCCGGGTTCGATTCCCAGTCAGGGAAGTGACTTTTAATATTTTTTATACAGGACAACATGATACTGATCCACTAGATTCAGATTTGTATCTGGATCGTTATGAGCCTTCTTCCAGAAATCCTTGTTAAAGACCTTGTGGTGCAACGGTAGTGCATCTGATTCCAGATCAGAAGGTTGTGTCCAAATCAATATGATTAAAAGTGAAAGCATTTAAAAATGACAAAAAAATTGCCAAAAAACAATGAGGTTGTGTGTCCCTGATGGTCTAGTGGTCAGGATACGGTGGTCTCACCACTGTGGCCCGGGTTCGATTCCTGGTAAGGAAAGTTCCATTTAATATTTTTGATACACAACAAGAAGTTACTGATCCACTAGATTCTGATTTTTTCTGGATCGTTATGAGCCTTCTTCCAGAAATCCTTGTATAAGACCTTGTGGTGCAACGGTAGTGCATCTGATTCCAGATCAGAAGGTTGTGTTTCCAAATCAGTATGATTAAAAGTGATAGCATTTAAAAATGACAAAAAATGGCCAAAAAACAGTGAGGTTGTGTGTCCCTGATGGTCTAGTGGTCAGGATTCGGCGCTCTCACCGTCGCGGGCCGGGTTCGATTCCCGGTCAGGGAAGTGACTTTTAATATTTTTTATACAGGACAACATGATACTGATCCACTAGATTCAGATTTGTTTCTGGATCGTTATGAGCCTTCTTCCAGAAATCATCGTATAAGACCTTGTGGTGCAACGGTAGTGCATCTGATTCCAGATCAGAAGGTTGTGTGTCCAAATCAATAAGATTAAAAGTGATAGCATTTAAAAATGACAAAAAAATGGCCAAAAAACAATGAGGTTGTGTGTCCCTGATGGTCTAGTGGTCAGGATTCGGCGCTCTCACCGCCGCGGTCCGGGTTCGATTCCCGGACAGGGAAGTGACTTTTAATATTTTTTATACAGGACAACATGATACTGATCCACTAGATTCAGATTTGTTTCTGGATCGTTATGAGACTTCTTCCAGAAATCATCGTATAAGACCTTGTGGTGCAACGGTAGTGCATCTGATTCCAGATCAGAAGGTTGTGTGTCCAAATCAATATGATTAAAAGTGAAAGCATTTAAAAATGACAAAAAAATGGCCAAAAAACAATGAGGTTGTGTGTCCCTGATGGTCTAGTGGTCAGGATACGGTGGTCTCACCACTGTGGCCCGGGTTCGATTCCTGTTAAGGAAAGTTCCATTTAATATTTTTGATACACAACAAGAAGTTACTGATCCACTAGATTCTGATTTGTTTCTGGATCGTTATGAGCCTTCTTCCAGAAATCCTTGTTAAAGACCTTGTGGTGCAACGGTAGTGCATCTGATTCCAGATCAGAAGGTTGTGTCCAAATCAATATGATTAAAAGTGAAAGCATTTAAAAATGACAAAAAAATGGCCAAAAAACAATGAGGTTGTGTCTCCCTGATGGTCTAGTGGTCAGGATTCGGCGCTCTCACTGCCGCACCCAGGGTTCGATTCCCGGACAGGGAAGTGACTTTTAATATTTTTGATACACGACAAGAAGTTACTGATCCACTAGATTCTGATTTGTTTCTGGATCGTTATGAGCCTTCTTCCAAAAATCCTCGTTAAAGACCTTGTGGTGCAACGGTAGTGCCTCTGATTCCAGATCAGAAGGTTGTGTTTCCAAATCAATATGATTAAAAGTGATAGCATTTAAAAAAGACAAAAAATTGGCCAAAAAACAATGAGGTTGTGTGTCCCTGATGGTCTAGTGGTCAGGATTCGGCGCTCTCACCGCCGCGGCCCGGGTTCGATTCCCGGTCAGGGAAGTGACTTTTAATATTTTTTATACAGGACAACATGATACTGATCCACTAGATTCAGATTTGTTTCTGGATCGTTATGAGCCTTCTTCCAGAAATCATCGTATAAGACCTTGTGGTGCAACGGTAGTGCATCTGATTCCAGATCAGAAGGTTGTGTGTCCAAATCAATATGATTAAAAGTAAAAGCATTTAAAAATGACAAAAAAATGGCCAAAAAACAATGAGGTTGTTTGTCCCAGATGGTCTAGTGGTCAGGATTCGGCGCTCTCACCGCCGCGACCCGGGTTCCATTCCCGGTCAGGGAAGTGACTTTTAATATTTTTTATACAGGACAACATGATACTGATCCACTAGATTCAGATTTGTTTCTGGATCGTTATGAGCCTTCTTCCAGAAATCCTAACATAAGACCTTGTGGTGCAACGGTAGCGTGTCTGACACCAGATCAAAAGGTTGTGTGTTCAAGTCACATCAAGGTCAATGCTGGGAGTGCAGAAAACTTTAATACTATATAGTTTTCTAAAAGTAATATAATTTGAGTTTTGCTCTTCTAGATAATCAAAAAGACATTAC